GGATCGCTAGTCCTGCACAGACCTTGCACTGCCCTCGATTCTCTTTCTATATCGATGTGACTGCAGGCATGAGTGCTCAGGTACGCCGTCAGTCCATTTTCCTAGCAGTATTTTGCAGTTGTCTTTGTTTTAACGACAAAAGAATCAATACAGTCCCGAAGAGCGGAACGGCCGTCCAACTCCCCCAAACACAAGGGTGGGAGGAGACCGTCCAGGTCTCTCATAGAGCAGGTTGGGAGGTGCTCTCAGCCTGTCGTAACAACGAAACAAAACTCCATACCGGAAGATCAAACCCTTCTTCCTAGAACGGAATATATACATTGGTACAACAGGAGGTCAATTATATCGAGCGACACATCCTAATTTACGCTAACCTCAGCGTACCATCGGAGAGACTTTAGCCACATCTTAACCCGAAGAATGAGGCTCGATTACATTGACCTGGATAAAATGTCCGAAGACCCTCTCTTTTCTTTTCATTACAAACAAAGCGAAGGCGCTACTTAGCCCTATCAAGAATGAAGGCCCGTGCGACACTCGGCGACTCCCAAATCTGGAAATGCTAACCACAGTTTCAATGGTAACGGGAATACGCCTGACGGCGAAAGCATACAAAGATAGTGACGCTTCCATCACTTAGATTTAGGGCGATAGGGCGCACCACAGATACAAGATACGAGAAGAAGCACCCCTCAATCGATAGGTCAAAGACAGAGACATAGTACCAATTACATCTCTAATCTTTGAGAAAAAAAAATAAGGTTCCACATAATAGCGTCAACCAAAGACCGGAGCATCTTAGCAGACACTTTAGAGAAATCCCTAGTCACTTCGTCGCTCCAAAATCTTTTGGCAAACTCCAAAATTAGTTGAAAAAATGTTTGAAATTTTAGACTTTTCTTTAGATATAGTTATAGTACACTGAAACTTTTTATTATGGGTTGCGGCCGCCACCTTCTCGTCGGCGATCACCGTCGCCAAGAATGGATGGCATAGTCGCAAAGCTTCGTCGTGCCATAGACCCTCTCAGCAGCTATCCACACAAGCATTTAATGTGTAAGTGTGAAGCCAAGAACTCAAAAATCCGAGGGGTTGACCGTTCGTGAACGTCACAACCGATGACCTATAGCCTTGAAACTATAAACTATATGGTAATTGAAAGACTACAGAACAAAGTATGAACGTCCAGGAAGTTGCAAAGGGATTTCCGAACTACCCTGCAATCATACAGGACGTCAGGATAACAGGTAAGGAATCGGTAGCAGCCTTGAGATCAAAAGATAATAATTTTTTCTTTCCTCTCAAGTACTGCAAGGGTTGGGTCTGGTTATAGGTACCATCCATTCTTAACCTTGCCAAAACCGTCATGGCCCAATCATGTATAGGTCGTACCAAGGCCTGATACAAGGGTGAGCCAATAGCGAATAGCCTGGCGCTTCCCTGCTCCCTCGACCTTCATTCCCATCCTGCCAAGCTGAGGCTGCCAGCGCATTCTATCTAACCACACTGTGGCAAATCGATACAAGTAGCTAAACAGCTTACTATACCATACAAGGGCATCTCCGGCCGAACGGTTAGGCAAGACTATGATGGGTAAACATCCCGTTTACCAAACAAGACGTCGAGAGTTTCACTGTTCCATTCCCCTCCTGCAGCCAAAGTGATAGCGGCTGTAGCATCCACCTGTCTTATGTGGAAGAAAGAGGGTAAGCTTTCTATGTGGATAGGACGTATCAACACCTTTTGCATCTTTTAAAGTCAAGAAGAAAGAAGAATCTTGTGTTGGGTCCTGAGGACCAGGATGGCCGAAGATCAAGACCTAAATGTGCCAGGGGTTGATCATCGAAGCCAGGGCCATAACGATGAAGGAATTTGAGCGCTGATGTAGCTAACAGCCACCTTCATAGTCGATTCATTAGGGTCGTAACCTTCTACCCTTAAGTATCCACCGTTTTCTTTGTCTGTTAAGCCTCACAGGGACTTCCTAAATCAAACTGCAATCGCAGTTTATCAACCACTCACAAGACCACCGAGATCTTCGACTTAGCTCCCAAAGGTCATCCACCCCCCCAACCGGGAGCGGAAGATAACGAAAGGGAGACAAAGTCCTAACAAAAGAATAACACAAGAACCTCCGTCTACATCATAACACAAGCTATCCATGTAATCTATCATATCAGTCGAGTCGATCCGATTCGTTCAACTCTATAGATAAGGCAAGAGAGAACTTATGACCTCGCGGATGGAGAGGGATTCGAACCCAACGAACTTTTCGAAGCGAAGTGAAGATATAGAAGTCTTTGGCTAAGAGCTTTCTTTCCTATTATCGAATCAAATCCGAGGAAGTCGAAAGTGATGGAGGTGAACCTATAGGCGGACAGAGTATAAAAGCGAGTCGTTCGAAGAGTTTTCCTAAGAGGTGTAGCGCAGTCTGGTCAGCCACTTATCCCTGAGCTGCGTTAGCTGAGGTCAAAGAAATCGATGAAGGCTCGATATAATTGACCTCTGGCTTGTGCTTCATAATAGGGTTCTAACGATCAAAGAACGAATGGAGAGATTGGATTCAAATTACATCCTTGTGCTCAGGACCAGGTCAAGCTTCATTCTCTATCGGGGGCTGAAGTAAATGAATCCGGCATGAAGAAAGCAGCTTTCCCAGACCTATCTTCAAAGAAATATAGTAGACAAAGCTGGTGGCCGAAGCAGGATCGAAAAAGGCAAAGCCAGACCTTATTTGAGTTTGACTCGGGAGCTAGGTGAAGACTTATCTTGCTAATACATAGAATACAGATTCTAAGAACGACTGTAATGGAATGGAATGGAAGGGAGGCCTTACATACGCAATTTTAGTGGCGAACTAGAAGAGAGAAAAGACAAGGTTTTCAGATACTCGACCATACAAACTTTTCGAAGCGCAGTGAAGTCCCTGGAGGGCTTGTGAGACTCGAAAAGGAGAGGTTCGATGTAATTGACCTATATCTGCCGGCAAAGGCATGGAGGGTCGATGTAATTGAGAGAAATCGAACCTTAAAGAAAAGAAAGACTTCAATGCAGCCGGAAAAACTTTTTTTGAAGATTTCCGCACTTTCTATTCTTTTTTTAATCTTTCTCGGAAAGGACTAATCAAAGTCTATTTCGCCTAGTTGAGCTTGAGTGTGGCGAGGTCTTGAGCACCTAACTAAAGATCTATATAGTCTTATTGATCCTTTTGGTATATACAAAGAATGGAAATCGGATTCCCTCGATTAAGGAATTGCTCCCCATAACATAAATCGAAGAGCAGAAATGGTCAAACTTCCGGGTACTGAACGACTAATTCGTGGGACTAGACCATTTTTCCACGCACCTGATAGGTTTTTCCTAGGGGGAAGTGGGTTAGGAAGGAGCTCTAATTACGAAAGGGCTTATGCTTCTTTCGCCTCTTGGATTATACCAGTATGGTTCCTACCCTAGCTTGTGTAGCCTATGCGAAGCAAGCCCACACTGGCTTCTCAATGTTCCAAAACCTGTATTCTACATCTTTGTGAACCGCCCTATCTCAAATAAAGTAAAGGAACCCTGCCTTCGAATATTGCTTGCTTGGACGAATACCGAATAAAGCTCACAAGAAGATAGATCTTCGCCAACAGGCTTAGAGTCCTACAGACAGTTCAACCGCGCCCTTAAAGTAAAGATCTTCTTGGAAATTAGGAAGGAATAGTTCCGAACCTGGCAAAGGGGGGAAGGGAATAATGTAGCAAATACTGTCTTCCCCCTTCCTTCACTCTCTTGCTGAAGAGCATTTCTCCCCCACTCGAACTGATGAGGAGCTCACCTTTACTCTTCTTTCCCTCTATTCTATTTCATTCCCGAAAGGGAAAAAGGACTTCAAAGCGGCGGCTGCAATCACTCGAGACATCGACTTGCGATAGAAAAAGAAAAAAAGAAAGCAGGGCGAAGCTCTAAACCATAAAGAGGAGCTACTCGATCGGTGGCACCAGAACGCCCGCCCCTCTTCTCTTACTCCATTTATGTTTGGGAATTGACCAAAGATTTGATCAAAGTAGCAAGCTTAAACCTTCCTTCCCGTCCCGAACTGAACAGCAAATCGAATCACAACAACGGGAGATCGGCTTGACGTAGTGAAGTGAGCTTTAAAGTAAGGCGAACCTTGCCTTTCCTTTAGAGTACAACATGGGATACGATCAACATCAACGATAGCACCCAGAGGTCTCTCAAGCCTCAATGTAATCGACCCAACTTTAGAAGCGAAGTGAAGTCATAGAAGAGAGGAAGCACTCAAACAACTTGAATCTGAACGGAGATTCAAACCCAGCCTTAAAAAAAAATAGGATTTCCATATTGAATTTGGAAAGGAAGGCAAAGAGCTGTAGAGTAGGTGGGTAGGATATAAATTCTATATTTTCGGAGCGGAGATTTTGTTTACGAAGGTGGTTTGCCAGGATGATTTACTATTTGCATAGTTGGAGTGGAACGAAAGATGCGAGGATTGGGAAGCACCCACCTCGGGCGGCTAGGAGCGGATCTTGCTACGGATGGAAGGCTTTCTATAACACTGCATTATAGAATTTCCTTTCTTGAGACCATCTCGTTGCACTCCTCACGCAACATTAGAGGGCCGGGCCCCCGGAGGCTGACAGGGAACGGATTCCTATGCCTCGAGAGCTGGGAAGTTTTGGGTTGGGCTCTGTCCACATCTAAAGCACAGGCTATGAGACCTACCTGGAAAGAACGCTTTCTGAGAGCTCCCAATGTAAGAGCCTGAGATCCTCTATGAAGGGTGGTTGGTGTGAGCTAGAGACATCTTCAATTACATTTCTACCTCATTTTGCACTTTTCTTGCTTTCAAATGAATAAAAACTTCAACTGGCTTAGCTGGCCTTGCCCGGAACTTGCTTTCTTTCTTACTGGATTAAGTCAGACCTGCCTTAGGAGATGGGAAAGCTTTTTCGATTCCTTTTCTGGTGTTGACCAGCTCAGTTCTCTTATAAGAGGAGGTAAAGAAGGGTTTTTTCTACCCGGGGAGGAGTTAAGAACAGGAACAAGGGGACTGCTTTCACTCGGTGAAAAACACTGTCCATATTTCCGTGGTCTAAAGATAGAACCTTTCTCACTGCGGTCCACAATAGTATATAAAAGAGTGCGCCCTCCTTGTTCTCACCACTATGGCTTGCTCAGTGGATAGAACGGAACCGGCCGTCACCGCCACCCAGCTATCCAATTTATAACTCACTTGTTATAAATACAATCTTCCTACTTTCTGATGGTACAGCCCGGAGAGAAAAGTAAATAGCTTGCATAAGATCCATATCCATTGCTAGCTGGATTGAGAGGAGTGCTTTCCCGTCCACCTAGGCTCCAAAGCAAAGAGGAATGCTTGGACCTACTTACTATATGGACCTATTCCCTATCCCCTTCCTGCTGGTCCTTCCATTAGTCAAGTCCTTTCTTCAAGACTTTTGCCTGCGGATCTCTTTCTTCAAAACATATCCTTGGGCGCCAGTCTTTCCTGCCTTACCTTAAGCCCGCTTTCACGTGGTTTGAAGTTTCTGTGATCACTTTACGGCATTCTTTAAGCCACCGGACAGAGTGAAAATGATCAGTAAATAGCCGAATTGGCATTGATTGAAGAAGAATAAATTAGTAGATGCCAGGGAATCAAAAAGGATTATTCTTCAAAATCAAAAGAAGAAGAGGAGCGAGTTTAGTAGAATAGTAAGAAGATATGGAAAAAGGGGGCTTTTAAAATTGAAGAAGCTGATAGTTTTTTCCCTACCTGCCAGGTATATTGGCTTGAGTGGATTGCTTTGACTAGCTATGTTTAGTACCTTTGCGATTCGACTTTCCGGAGAGAATGCGTTGGTATAGAATCTAACAGCAACCCTTCCCGCTAGGCGGGATCTTTGAGCATTGCAAGGCTACTCTTAACAACATAAGTCATTTCGTCAGTCAGCAGTTCGGCCTTTCAGTAAAGCAGGCAACTCACTAACCACAGCTTCTATCTCCTCTAGGTCCCAGTAGACTGATCCTTAGTCTTTCTCCCCCGCAACCAAGCTAAGGGCTATTCTTCGCATCTCTCGTGGTCTTTTCGAAGCAGATATTTGTACGCCCATTGGGTTCTTTGAGGATAAAACAGGTTTCGGCTTGACAGCTTTCCAGGGTTTCTTCTTTCTTAGAAGGGAGAACTCTTAAGCCTTAGGTCAATTACATCGAGCCATAGGGAGGAAAGAAAGATAAAGTAGATGTAGCAGACTTTCAGTTCCCAGGTGGCGGAGGGTATACTTTTCGGGCTGAATCCGCATATCATAGGGGACACTTCCTTTTTTGCCACTCATAACCCTGACAATAACACTGGATTTTACAGTACGAACAGCAGACAGTCTATTCGCTCGTTATATACTGAAGAACTGTTAGCCCCTAGATTGACCCGATATAGACCGTGTTCCGCGTCAGACCTCAACTCCTGGGTAGAAATCCCCATTATGAGATCAAGGTGTCGCACCCCGGTTTGATTGGCTTTGCTAGGCTTGCTACGTCTTAACCGACCCATCCAATTTTGGATCGAGTAAAAAAGAAGTGAAACCATTCCCCGCTGTAGGGAGTGCAGGATTGGACACGGAATCCGCCAAGAAAGAATTGAAAATGCTATCCCACTTCGCTGTTATACCTGCTCCTCGATGCGGAAGAAAGGCTGTTGTGAGGAATAAGTGCTCGTGGGATTCTCATAGAATGATGCCAATCTTTCCTCTTTCTGGTGAATAACCGGTCTTGCTGGAATTGAATCTGAATCCTTTGACTCCGGTGCTCCCGTAAGCGCAGCTAAAGGCTTAGCCTAGCCCTAAGGAAAGCAATTGACATCATACATATAATAATAAGCGGAGAATGCCGGTAGTAAAGAAGCTGTATTCCTCTCTCTATTTTCTTTATCCTGGGCGGATGTCCGCTTTAATTAGATGCCCATTCCTCGGAGTAGGCGTACTCGTTTCAGCTCAACCAGTAAGTCATTAGTGCCTTTCGGAACTCTATTACCTTCTCCTATGACTTTTCTTGGCTAGTCTTATTGCGGGTATGCCTTCCTTCCACTCGCGGAACACCTACTATCTGAATGCTGACTTACTGTCATGTCACTATTTGAAGAGGACCTGGCGGAATAAGACGTTTAGTCTGAACGAACCGGAACCACCGAAATAAGACCTCTGGATGTGCCGTCTTCATGTAGTTGTGTCCGCGGTTGCGGTATGATAGGCAGTACCGCCCGCATGCGTTAATCTTTTCAGTCTTTACAACTCTGCTTGGGCCAAAGAAATTTCATATGTTATTTTATTTAATTTCTTCTTTTTTATCCTCTCATCACAGAAAGAGGGCCCACTGCGCCTTTATCGAAAAAAAAGCTTCTTCTCGTCACAATCATTCAATCAAATTCCGTCAAATCCGGCTTGTTGACCAAGTAAAGCAACTTCAACAAGTTCGAAAACAGAAGCACTGAAAATGTACTAGTAAGGAACTCTCACGGTATGGCTTGCATTTACTTTACTTCAAACAAAAAGGAATAGAACCGGAAGCTTTGATGGTAGTAAAGTCAGTCCATCTGCACTATAAAGACAGATTCTCTCTATTCTTCGTATCGCCGCTTTATACTTTATATAAGCTAAGCTCCAAGCAATACAAGTCTTTTTGTTAGAACGTTGATACATAACTAACGGAATGCGTAGAGTATCCCCATTGGCCGATAAAATGATCTTGTCAATATCAGTATAAATTATCTTTCCCTCGTGTTCGGCTATAGCAGGAACCCCTGAATCTAGAGCCACTTGGCGTTCCAATCCAGTTCCAACAATGCATTTTTCGGACCGAGAAATTGAGAACAACGAATGATGTTCTCGAGGGTCTGCGCTTGATGATGGATGCGCTGAAAAATTCGGTTGACTCCTTACCCGAATTTGTTGAAGGAAGGATTGATGCTGTCAATGACGAAGTGAATTTGCTATCTGATGCGGTGCGGGATAAGATCAACAAGGTCCAAGATGATATAGCCTTGTTGAAAGATGTTGGCGCAAATGTCCTAAATGAACAGCGCCAAGGTCCACCTAAGGCTCGATATAATTGACCTGATCCAAAAGCCTTTGACGGAACAAACTTTTCGAAGCGAAGTGAAGGAAAGGAACTAATAGGAGTTCGATGCCTTCACTCGGAAGCTTTTCAAGAGCTTCCTTCGCTTGGCAGCTCTATATTTATATCTTTTTATGGTACGACAGAAAGTCCTGGATTAGTTTGTACCGGTGTAGGTCCTGAGTGGTGACCTGTCCCCCTTGGAGCGTCCACTTCGATAGCTTTCCATAGAATCAGCAGGAGTCCTACCGCTCTATGCCTCCTTCGTTCTCTGGCGATCCCCATCACTTGCCTACCCATCACAGGTCAATGTAATCTTTCGTATCTTTCAGGCTCGATGTAATTGACCTTTGAAAGCTGTCCAACTCAATGTCTTACGCATCAGCGGCATTTGCTTAGATAGAATCTACTGCTGGTTTAGCTTATCGATGTCCTTTCTTCGTCGGATAGAAGAGCACGAGACTACCCCTCTATCCTTTTTATGACTGAACTTCGCTTCGTTTGTAGAGACCTAGTGGGTAATATGTTGCAGGCTAGCCAGTCAGATTGACTCGTCTCAGTCCTCGGGTCCTTCGTTTCTCGGGTCTTTTGACCGTCGAACTCGGGCGTGCTTAAATTCGTCTCTTCTGTGAAAAACAGAACAGACTCGCCCAGACCCATTCTGTTTCACTTCGCTTCTTCCTTATTCTTGAGGATTATCTTAAGAGTGAATTATGAGTATCGATTCTTTTCTCTCAACGTACAGAAATGGTCAAAAGACCCGTAAGATGTCGATCTCGTTCTAAGGTAGCTCCCTTCATGGGATAAGGGATATTGGGGAAATAAAACTACCCCTTATAGGAAAGGAAAAGAAATCGCTTAAGATCCACTAGAAAAAGAAAAATAAGACATCAAACAAAAAAAGCAAGGAAAACTAGACGAATCAGTCTTCTAAAAGATAGGAATTTGCTTCTTCTTGTGGTAAGCATGAAAGAAGGAGTCAGCCTAACTCAAAGAAGTAAGAAAGAAAGAAGCTCAAAAGACGGGGTTTTGAACCCCTTTTTCCAAGGGCAAAGAAAAGGACGTAATCTTATGCAATTCCTTTTTGAGAGGACTTGAAAAAGAGAGCTTATAGAGTGAGAGCATCAAAAAACACGGGTTTTCATGACTTTCAAATAAGAGAAATTCCTGTATGCACGGGATAGAAAGGATAGAGTCCTTACTCCATTACTCATGGGATTCGTAATGGTCGGACGTCTACCAGGACAGCCTTAACCCGGATCGCTTACTCCTTCCTCCATCCTAAAAGGCTGGAGTTCAGTCGCTTCGCTCTTCTCCATATTAATTCTATCGTTCGGTCTCTCCGACTAGTAGATCCCTCTCTTGCTTAGCTGCACCGTGCTGGCTTTTAGTTTTAATACTGGACGGCATTGCAGATTCTCTTCCGATGGCGGGACGAGTTATAATGGCTCAAAGAGAAGTCTCCTCGCTTACGCTCTCGTCTCGATAAGTCTGTTCGCTTATCGTTGGTGCTTGACTCCTATTCAATTCCCTTCGATTCCATTCTTTCCTCGAAGACAGATACAATACTTTCTTTCTTAAATAGAGTTTCCTTCACTTCGCTTCGAAAAGTTCGTTGGGTCGGTGTGCGAATGGTAAACTCTTTGATGTTGAATAAGCAGAGGCATTGCATTAACTTTCACTCCTATGACCAAGGGAAAACAACATAGTACATACACGATTTCTACGTTCTCGAAGGTGTTCTTGACGCCGTTCTCCAAGGTAAAATCTTCTGTCGCCCAATATCTTGCTTTCCGTGGCGTTCTTCAAGGTGGTCATAAGGGCGTTAAGCATGAGGAAAAAGTACTTATTCGAAGGGGTAAATACTTGTTTAAAACTAGTAGCTAGTAGCTCGTCCTAATCCGCAAGTAGAAAGAATTTGGCAGAGTGAATTGAGCTACTTTGATACCTATGACCCAACGATTTGGTATCGCCTAAATAGGAATGGAAAGCTAGCCTAATTGAAGCGTAAAACCTGTCTAAACTCCCGCTTTACTTTGACGGGCTAAACTCCTAAGCGAATACGGTAAGCGAACACGGTACCCTCCGGGTGGTATCATGTCAGACGTCCAGCGAACTGGGCTGCTAGTGTGAATGAACGGTAAACACAATTTAGCAGAGGTCAATTACATCGAGCCTTACCTTCCTATTCCCTAGGGTTTGGTACCCAAGAGATAGTAACCCAAAGGTAGACTAATGGGAAGTGAAATCGGCTCCGGCAGCGAACTGGTTGAACTGTTGCGAGCTGTGTAGCTAATGAGGCCTTTGGCTAACCCCTAACTACCTGAGCGGATGAACGAGTTAAAGGAAGACCAGTAAGATCCGGAAGATCAATCCGTTCCTTCTTATTCCCCACGGAGCGGTAGAATCAGTTAAGGAAGCCTACTACTCTACAGGCGACTACTTAAACTTGATAGGCCCTATCAAGTAAAGGGGGCCTCCTAAGGAATGATCGGTCGAAGAAGTGATAAGCTTATATATATACAAGGCGAGCCGGTATGCCTATATTTATACAAGGGACAGTATGAAGGAAGGCAAGCACACAGGCACGAACTCACAAGTCAGCTACCCCTAGGGGGTGTGTTTAAAGTGATCGAGGGAAAACCCAACTTAGAAGCGAAGCGAAGTTCAATCTCTGGAGAGGAGAGAGGAAATTGACCTCATAGAAGGCCATTAAGCAGCAAAGAGGACTTTCGGTCACTGTTCTAGGCCTTTTGTTAGCTCGGTTCCTAAAGCTAATAAATAGCTGTCTCAATTACATCGACCCTTTCGCCAGTGAACCCCGGTCGAAAGATGCCTGCCAGTGAAACAGAGTCATTCCAATCAGTACCAATGCTTTCGATTTCTTTCATATATGCTCACGATCCAGTCAAGAATAGAATGATAGTACGAGTAGTGAAGGAACTGACTCTTATCAAAGGGAGGACGGGACTGAAGATGTTGATTCAATCTCCCTGTAAGCAACGACGTTAGACTTGCTCCTCTTGGGAATAATTTCCATTATCATGGACAGCCCTAGCACTCTCAAACTCACTACTAAAGAGATGTCTATTGGCCATTCTCAACACTGTGAATCCGCATCAATGCCATTCTTGCTAAGAGCAGTGGCATCTTTGTCCTTCAAAGAGCGGATTAGGCTTCCCCCTATAAACTGTCTCAGATGGACATTCAAAATCAATTTCGCGTAAATATCGTAAAGGCAGATGTGGCATTAATATTTGATAAAGGTTCGATGTAATTGACCTAGTCATCTAAATAGAGAGGAATCCAATCCCCTAAAGTAAAGAGAAATTGTAAAACCGGTGCTATTTCAGCTGTAGGACGAATCCGTGGGAGGCTGAAATGATGAAAGAGGCTTTTTTTATAGGTAAAGGAACTAATGCCGCTGACTCAGACGCTGCGGTGATTGATGTAGCTTCGTCGTCTGTCTCACTTCCACCATTCCTTAGTCTTAGCTTAAAGGATGCTGATGGACTGTCCTTTATTTCAGATACAATCTGTAAGTAAGTTACCAAAACTTTTTGTGTTGTAGACGGCGAAGAGTCAATAGGAATAGAATAGGAATCCCCAGATAATCTCGTTCCCGCAAGGGAGAAGGAGAATGGCCCTGTTCTGGAATTCAAAACTACGAGATTCACATCCTATTTTAGTGGCAACCAAAGCAATTGTTTAACCTTTAGAGTAACTGGAAGTAAATAAGTAGTCTAGCGACGAGGAAGCATAGATAGCAAAGGCGGATATGGTACTTTTATTGTCAAAGTAGGATCATATGCTTAAAATAAAACATGCAATTTGAAAGAACTTACTGACCCCGGGGTTAGACCGAATCCACTAATCCAATAGGTAATGTTGGCGAATCTTCTGATTATCGAGTTTCAATTCGACAAGTACCAACAGGAGAANATTGAAAAAAAAAAAAAGACGAAAAAAAGGCCTTGCCTACTCGAGAAGCTGATTCAATAGGAACTGACTAATGAGATTCTTTACTTTCCTTTTATTCTTTCAAGTAAAACTAGGCTCCTCCCACACCACAAGGATGGCAAAACTCGCCGCAGGAATGGTTGAATATCAGGGCTTTTTCAACCCCAGCTTTCCAATAGGACTTTCCTTAGAACGAGACAGGGGGGTTTTAATTCAATTCCTTCCTTCACTTCAAATGAAAAGGAAAGCTTGACTTATCAATAGACTTTTGGATCAGATGCTATTGTTTAATTGTGCCACTTCATCAGATGATGTGGTAATGGGTGGCCCTTTCATATTGGTATTGAGGAACCGGGGCGAAGGAAAGATAGTTCTTTGAGTGACAGAGATGGAGATTCAACTTCCCCGTGGAAAAGCTCTATGCTATTTATGGAATAGCAATCAGTGATGTTTGATTGACAGCTTGAAAGTTTGAACCAAGTCTTGGATTCGAAAGAGAAGTAGGTGTAGAGGGGGAAAGATCGCACATCTGGTTAACTGCTTGCTTTTGGGGAATACTGCTTGTGGTCTTCTATCAAGGATAGAGGAGAGCAAAGTGAGACTCAAAGAACGAAGCGAAGCGAAGTGAAGGAAAGGAATAAGGTAGGGTCGATGTAATTGAGAGAAATCGAACTCCCAGTCTCATTCCCGGCTAACCGTGAATAGAGTGAAGGGTAGGCCAAGAGCTTTTAGAAAGAAGACTTTACTTTAGGAAGGTAGTGTAAGGCTTTCCCTTGCCTTGGCGAGTGCTATAAGGGCCAGTGTCCTCCGTGGGTGACCAGCCGCATGACACTCCCTTAAGATCTCCTTCCTTAAGTCTCCAACCTTGGACACGTAGAGGCAATTCCCTCTGGTGAGGAAGAGCCGCCCATCCTTGATCCAAAACCTCTGTGTCTTTCCTTCTTGTGCTAACTGCATAAGACTCCTTGCCACAGGCTCGATATAATTGACCTTCCCTTATGCGGTCGGGTATGGAGCCCTTGAAGTTGGCTTACAGCAGGCATTCTCCTCCAGCTCCAGCTTTAGCTTTAGTGAGGCCAACTCCGCTTTCCGACTTAATCGTCAGCCGTCCTTCCAGGCGTGTACTCAAGCACCATATCAAGCTCAGCCAAGAAGTCTTGCCAACGTGCCTGCTTGGGACTTAGTTTCTTCTGAGTCTGGAAAGAACTTGTGGCCACGTTATCCGTCTTGTCTTGACCACGAACCTCGAGCCCTTTAGGAAGTCCCGCGCTAGAAAGAAGTCAAGGGATTGACTAATGGTAAGAGTGAAATAGCCACTTAACTAGAATGATTCCTCCTAAAGTTGTGAACCCTATGCAGCCTAATTTTTCTTTGAAATACCAATCGGTAGTTGACTTGCTGATCTTAGACAGGATTGGATGATATTCCCTGCTTACCGGATAAAAAATGACTTATATGAAGTAAGGATAGCATCCCATACCGGAGTTCACCTCTAAAAGCAAAGAAGGCTATAGCCTCGGTTAAGCCTAGAATGGTATAATTGCCCGACACAACCTTTCTCGATCTTCTACAGCAAAGGGCGCCGCCCTCCCCCTTACCACACTTTGCCACCCTCTTCCAACAACCGGAATCTCAATTCCAATTTGCCATTCCACTCATCAAGTCAAACTTGTTCGGTCACTCCATCTCTTTTTAATGCATTGAAGAACGTTTTGCTTTCATTTTAGAAAACTACGTGGAGGTTCCGAATAGGAGCTTGTTGGGGTCCTCGGTTTTTGTTTTTGTGGTATAGAGGAACCCTACTATCTATCATATTTCGATATTAGCCATAATCTCCCCTTAATTCTTCCTCTTTAGGAATAAGTCTATTCTCCATTTTGGAGTGTTTATAATATAGACTTTCTAAGCCTTTTTTTTCCTCATACATGACTTTTCAATTTTCAGTCTCAAACTTCTCTTCCAAGCATTCTACAACATATTGGAGTCGATAAGGCCCAAGCGGGCGCATTCCCTCCTGTTTTCGGAGATATTGTATGAGATCGCCTAATTTTTTTTCGTGGGTTGTTACCCAATTCTCGTTCCTTTCCTTAACAGTCCCAGTTGGTCTGGTAAAGCTAGCCCAAGCTTCGTTCCTCAAGCTACTGGTCCGGGCGAGCTACTTCAGCTTCAAACCTCTCCTTGCCAGTCACCGGTCCGCATAAAAAGTGAATTAGAAAGATTTTTATCCTAGAATTTCATTTCAATCTGAAAACTTCCAGTTTCCCCAGTTGGTCGACTAACTTCGAACCTCTTCGCTTTGCTCGAGCGTCTACGAACCAGACCCTATCAGGCCAGCGGCTCCGCTCCTCTCGCTTAGGCCCTTCAGTCTCGTCCATCCGGTCTCGTAACTTCATCCCAAAGCAAAGTTAAAGGTAAAGAAAGTGCGTACTCCCCTCCCGTAAAGAAACTGAAGTTTTCTTCCGGTAAAGAAAGTCAAGTTTTCCCCGATGGTAAACCCGCCTAAGGACATGGGCTCTATTAAGTTAAGGTTTTGATGGGTGAAGTTAAAGAGAAGTTCTCACTCCTCATACCTCGGCCCTTGGATATCGACTCTACCCCTTCACCAGGGTCTTCAGTTCGAACCAACCTGGAAAGCCTTGCCTACGCATAAACTTAGTCAGATGGTTCTCATCCAACGGCTCAAGGTGGATCCGAAGGAAGCACTAAAAGTGAGATCATGCTGCACTTCTTTTCCTTTTGAGGGGTGGCAATCACTCATGCAGTTCGTGCATGCTGTTGGTAAACAGTGGTCCCAGGGTGCATTTTGGCCCCTCGGACTCGTTATGCTGGGGATAAGTGGAACAAGCCTTTCTCCGAACTGGATTTTTTTCTGGTTCGAAGATTGCATTGGCCCTTATTTACCCTCGCCTGATGATTTGGGTGTTATGCCCATCACTGGTCGACTGGCTTCCTCCCTTGAGGGATCAGGCAAGAGACGAATCTTTGCCATTGGTAACTACATCAACCAAAGGGTGTTAAGGCCGGCCCATGTTTGGATGGCCTCTGTGTTGAAGAGGATCCCGAATGATGGGACCTTCGCTCAGTTGGCACCTTTGGTTAGGTTGAAAAGTTCTATGGACACTTTCTTATACGACTTGTCTGCTGCCACTGATAGGTGGCCACTCCTTGTCTTATTTAAAATGTTCCAGTACCTGTTCGACCGCTCGTTCGCTTCGAGCTCAACTTTGTCGACCCAACTTTAGAAGCGAAGTGAAGGAAAGGTGTAATTGACCTATAATAGGAGGAGAATGATATCCCAATCCGCTTGTTAATAAAGCCTCTAGTTCTTCAGTGGTTAACTGGACTCTCTTCGAAGGATTTCAACCTGGTTGGACAGATCCAGCGGGTACGAAGGAAGCGAAGCGAAGTGAAGTCAAAAACCCATTGGCTGAACCTATTAACTAACATACAAACCCCCTATCCGTTCCGAGAGGTACCGAGCGACGAATTCACGTAATAGAATATCATATTTAGAAAAAAGATATACCTTTAGTCTTGACAGGAATGAGGGCACTCTAATCTCTCTCTTATGGGTATTAACAAGATTTTTCCGGTACTATTGGAAAAGGAAAAGGCTTTCTTCGTTTTCGGGTAGTACGAGACGGGGTGACCCCACATAGCGATCAGAAGAACTAGCCCCTCGTTTATTTTCACCGGCCTCTTCAAATAAAGGAAAGAGGTACCAGATTGCGAGCTCTACGGCCATTAAGATAAGTATGAAAAGACTATGCCCTCCATGAAGGGCACGACATGGCGGTCAGCAGACGCTTAACCTTTGGTCTGAAAAGCTATGATCAACCACTACGAAAATTGCGTAAAAATCAGATATTCCGATGAGGGAATATAACCAGCAAGAGCAAGATACTCGGCTTATAGGTCAGTAGTACCAACTTGCCTACTCACTGTACCATGGGTTCTCATGCTACCATCGACATGCACCCGAAACTGTGCTGCCTTGGCCAATAGTAAGCTTCTACCCTATAGCGAAGGACACATATATATATATGAGCGACGTGCAAGCGATTGATTGCAACCTTTTGCCTGTGCTTAAAAAGCTACACTTGGAATTACGGATGACTTGATCCCGTAAAGTACGTAAGCAGGCTCGAAATGAGCTCCAGTCAGCCGCTACGCACCTTTACGCTTCCTCCTCTTCTCCATGTGGATTCTTATTTGTAATTAACCGGACTACTTTTACCCCAATGTTGTTCGAATCAGGTTCTCTTTCAGATCCGTCTACTAATCTGTTCAGTGTCATCACCTTCAGGAGTTTTGCATGAGCTCATGCTTTGCTTTCATCGGCCGGCTCTATTCCCTCTCGCTATAGACATGGAATTGGAACCAATAAAATTCGAAGAAGGTTTCACAGAAGTCCCTTAGGACTCTTCGGGGCATTTCTCTCATATCTCTTTCGATGCCTAGTGGTTTTGAAACAAGAAGGGAGAGGCGGCAAAGCAAGAGCCAAGAACGAAGCGTCAAGGTCCAAGAAGCTATCCTGCCGACTTTCCTAAGGGACGGAGTGAGTTAATGAATACCCTACGGAGAGAATAGAGCAGCTCCCCTAAAAGCATTCCTTCCCAAGAGTGAGAGCTGCCGGGCTGCTAACATGGAGAGTGCCGCGTTCGAGAGATGCCACCTCAACCCATACATAGACGATTATCAGATTCGTTCTTTGTGTCAGCTTCTGCGAACCCAGTCTCATACTCGGAAAAAGGCCCGATACTCTCTCTCAGCAGCAAGATCCACCACAAGATCCGATGCAACAAAAGCTGTTCCTTCTCCAGATACGGGAGCTTTCTCCGGATTCAGTTGATGATTCTCTTTCATCTCTGTTTGAAAGACCTTTCCGTTGTCAATTAGTCGGTTCCCCACCTCCAGTCTAATAAGCTTTCCGCTTGAAGCTTTCTCTCTCGGCACAAAGAAAGAGAAGCACCATACCCTACGAAAGAGAAGAACTGAACACAACAACAACTTACATGCCTCCTCCGATTCGACTCGTAACTCAACTCGTCCTTCCCATTCCGGAAAAGACAGAACCGGAAGTCGAGCTACCAAAGACAGAGATGCAAAATCGAAATGTCGAAAGGAAGTAACCTGCTCTGGTTTATGTGAGGCTCACCAGGGGCGAAGCGTTTATCTATAAATCGCAAGGGCGTACCTTCCAGGAACTAGCTTCCGACTTGTCACAATATACATTCCTCGTGCTTAGCTACACCTCCGATACTGTTCCGATACCGTCCTTGTACAGACCAAGCTAGTATTAGTAGCAGCGTCTCTCCTTGCAAGAGATAGGAGGGCTATTAACATAGCGCCTTTAGTAGCACCTATGAGTACGTCTTGGAAGAGAGAGAGATTCTATTTCAATGTGGGGAACTCCCTGGCATAGGCAGTAGGTCAAGTAGGTATTCCTTTCTGTTTAATGAGTAGCAATAGGTATTGGTTAATTTAGTTCAACGCACTAGGTCAGCAAAGAAGAGTTATTAGTAGAGTTAGGAGAGTTAGCACAGTTAGTACTTTATTAGGAGACATAGGGCTTTTCCTTGGGACTAGAAAGACGCATTGCTTAGTACAGTAGCATTGTTTGCAAAATTGACTTCTTCCGATAGAGCGGAATAATAAATAATGGCAATAGGTTGCTGTACCTAGTCCTAACAACAGACATTGGTTGAAAAGATCAGACATACTCCTGTCTTTTTGATACCTATCGCCCTACTTGCTCCCAAGCCTTAGTGCTAAGCAAAGACTATGCCAGGGAGCTTACCTAGTCTGACCTCAGAAACTAGACCACCTACTTTAAGGAATACCTCTTCAAGTGATTACACCCACCTAGTGAGAAGAAAAGAGGAAGCCCCTGTATCGGAGTAATAAGAAACGAATAAATCATATTATAGGCCAGGAACAGCGAATACATATTTCTACGCAGAGGTTATACTTTCCTTTACTACTCCCAATACAAATCTAGAAACTCATATATAGATAGTGTAATTTCTTTCATTGCTTGGTCGGCTTGATTGTCGCGGTTGTCACCTAAAGGGTTGGCCTCATCGTTGGCAACTGTCTTGTCGTGACCATCACCTACAGACAGGAATGCGTAAGTATGGATAAAGAATAAGTCAAATTAATGGAAGTCATTACATAGATAGTAACACATACCTCCTTCACAGCGTGCAGAATCGCCATCTCCCAGGTTACTAGTTATTTCTCCCCAATCGATTACTGGATCCATTGCAATGTTCTTTCTGGACCGACCATTACTTCAGTAGTCTGGGCACATAGGATTGACTGCTACAACAAGTTCTCAACGAACTGATGCATGCAGCTCAATAAATACGAAAATAAGATACAATATGACCCAGCCACAGAACTAACTGGTTTTGACTTGTCGTCTACTTTCACGAAATAAGGAGAAGCCTTCCGTTAACGATGGATCCCATAGGATTCGTTTAAGAGGTTAGGGAGGTTCTACATAATGAAAGTCAAAGTGATATAGCAGACTTGGAAAAGGTTTGATCCTTATGCGTGGCAACATCAAAAAAGAAGAAGAGTCTATGGGTTAGGGCGACGCATTCATAGATAACATATAAGGCGGAATAGCTCAGGATCAAGAGTGCTCAGTCACAGAGGGAATCCTCACAGGATCATAAGGGCTAGGCTCGGTCCGGTTAGAAGTTCAGAGGACTCAGACTCCACCATTTTCAGAGTTACTCCAGCATAGGGTTTCCATTATCGTAGTACCAATATTCCAAAATGAGCCAATGAGTCTCGGCTGTAGTGATCGATCCTCAGGTTCGAATTTCTTCTTGCTAGAATAATGGTCCTCTCTGCTTTACCTTTCTTTCGTCAATAGTGAACCTTCTCTGGCCGTCTTTCCATTAGAGGTTTTGCTCTGCATGACTGGTTTAGGATCCATATACCGAAGGCGGCAGAGCTTTTGCATCAAAATATTACTATATATCGAAAGAATTGAGCTTATTGTTTCCGGAAGAGCTCAGTTCCTCTCGGTGAACTCGTGTAAGAAATTGATTTTTTGGTGTTATTGCTTTAGTAAGGCTCTTACTGGTTGCAAAGTGTAGTTGGGCAAGCACTTTTTGCTTTATGGGTTCATCTTTTGGAGAAAGGGACAATAATCCGCGAACAGGAGGCAGGTCGGCCCTTCTATCCTACTTACAGTCTAAGGCCACCAAGGCTTTGATTGAGCGGTTCTGGTATCGAATGATCCAGGGGGAAGCTATAGGGTTCAGCATGAAGAGATGTTCTAAGTTTCCCAATGGCTGCCTATCCCGGTCCAATTCCTTTATCAGGTATCAGGAAGGTCGGATGAAGAGAAAATAACTTCGCCTTCACTTTTGATGATTTTTTCTTCTTTTTTTTTATTTTCAGGCAGAATTCCCTCTTCTAGGTACAGGTGCTAAAGGCTAATGATAATCAGGGAAAAGAGAGCTTACTACTTGAGAAAAGACTGATCCCTCTAGAGAATTGACTAGAACCTGTCCCTCGCGGAACACTTACCCAATCTCCCTTGCTCGATTTCCTTGTTTAGCCAAGTACGTCTGGGCGAGGGCTCCCTTCATTCACCTCCCGGATGGCGCTTTCAGAAAAAGACTTTGCCCGGCTAAAGACCGGGGCTCTTAGACGTTCCGCGGAGGGAATCGTCTAGTTCCGATCTTCGCCCTTTCAGTTAGGGGCTCAGTCTTCGGGCAGTTGCCCTTCGAACTCGGCGCACTGGGGACTTCTCTTCGTAACAGTAGCTTCGCGCGGTAAAGCCGGCCGAAAAAAACTGTGAAAAAGAAAAGCTTCGCCCGGTCAGTCAGTTTCGTAACAGTAGCTTCGTAGCTGGTGTAGCTACTGAACTTACTCTGTTTAAAACCCTGTCCGAAGCGCGTCCTGTGTGTCCGGTTCGATCTGATTCGCGACATTCATACGGTATGGAGCCATTCGTGGTCGCAGACCCGTTAGTCGTCTTACTGGGTCAGAGGAGAGGATTTGCCCTTCCGATGTGGCACTCCCTCGGTTTCAGCCCCCGAATTTATGGGAGTTGTGGACCGAAGGTCCCAGATCGTGCCAGGTGCTCAGTATCGGTTTTCTGTTGGCTCGTCTCTCTCCTCGGTGTCCGCCTTCTTGTCGCCCTGTGTGACTTCCTAATCTTGCCGGTGCGCATCGTTTTTACACCCACCGATTCCAAGGGTACAACTCGGCACTCCAAGGCTATATCAAACTAGGGGGGGTCTCCCACCTAGGTATCGGTCGGACAAGCAGAGGATTAGGTCGGACTTTTTCACCATGATCCTACAGGGTGTTCTCGAACACTACTTATGTGATACCTCGATACAATCCTGAAAGTCTATTTCTGAGATACAGATAAGAGAGGGAACCCACCTCGGACAATAGCAACCCTTTAGGGTCTGCGTCCGCAGTGGGTGACTGAACGATACCTTCCTCGTGGCTAACTCGTCTGAAAGTGGAACGAAGCGAAGTTCAGTCATAGATTTGGTGCAATTGACTCGACCAACTATTGAGGAATTCCGAGGGACGAGGGTCGATTACATTGAGACTTGAGTCGACTGAAAGGAGAGGTTATAACATACGCTCGACCATAGGGAGAGGATCGACAAAGTTGAGTCGACTGTACAAACTTTTCGAAGCGAAGTGAAGTCCCGGAAGAAAGTGAGCTTCTAAAATCTCTTTCAAGCCATGACCAATGCCCCAATTGGTCCTATACATGTGACCTGCTATCAGGAAAAGAATTGCAATAGCTAAATGATGGTGTGCAATATCGGTGAGCCATAGACCGCCAGTTACTGGATCTAATCCTCCACGAAAAGTAAGAAATTCCGCATATTTTGACCAATTCAAGGTGAAAAATGGAGCTGCTCCCTCGGAAAAACTGGGAGAAAGTTGAGCCAAAAGATCTCGATTCAAGATAAATGAATGAGGAAGTGGTATCTCTTTAGGATCAACTCCAGCGTTTAGGAATTGGTTAATCGGTAAAGATACATGTATTTGATGTCCCGCCCAAGAGAGAGATCCAAGGCTTGATGTAATTAACCTGCTAAATGGTGATTCAACATAGATTCTACATCTTGAAACCAAGCCAACTTTGGTTGGTTAATTCGATCAGTTCATAGATGGTCGGCAAGTATGATGGTATTAATGATGATTCTTCATGTATTTCGTGTGTATCTCACCGGCTCAATGTAATCGACCCTCGCGAATTGACTTGGGTTACAGGTGTGGTTCTGGCTGTATTGACCGCATCTTTTGGTGTAACCTCAATTACATCGACCCAACTTTAGAAGCGAAGTTCAGTCATAGAAAGAAGGTAGCTCGTGCTTTCAGCTTAGAGTAGTTTCTATTCAATCCTCTTTAAACTGCGGAACAGCGACTTGTTAGCCGAAACTACGGCCTCTTCGTCGCTATCGCACAAGGGGAATATACATGTAACATACCTTCCTTGTGTTACTTCGCCGAGTCTATCTATTGTTGGACTTTCCTGTCTGTTGGATTGTTGGAAACTGAGCTTCCATCCAACTAAGCTAAAGTTGCTTTCGTAACGACTCGATATTGTTAAGCATCACTGTTGTGCCCACTATGCACTTTGATAAAGACCTTACAGAAAGACCTAACGAGGATAGAGACCCAATCTTATACGAACTACAACCATAATTGATTCAGTGTGGATCGATGAAATTGACGACCAAACAAACTTTTCGCAGTGAAGTCAGAAGTATTGGCGAAGCGAAGTGAAGTCAAAAACTCCAAAGGTTGCCAACCTTTTCCAGTGTTCGGATCGGAAGCCATGTTAAGTGGCTTGTCCAGAACCGCAAGGATAGGCCGATATCTTTGGCTAAGGTATGGAGTACCCAAACGGGCCCGAACTCGGAAACCAGCCCCTGATAATCAAAGTACAGATTTTTTTGACATCTCGTACTTTGACGCCAGTTGGCAGTAGCCGACCAAGTTTGTAGAGGCCAGAACTGCTGAGGCATAGATAGGCTCGATATAATTGACCTCCCACCCAAAACTGCTTAGCAAATTCTAGCGCTCCCAAAGTAGAAGATATTGATTTTGAATCTCAATTACATCGATCCTGAAGAGCATTGATAATCTCTACATACTTATCCGCAACACGCGCATCCGCGATGACGATATCATCACCGAGGAGAGCGTATCTGGTAAACGGATACCTTCTATTCGGATCAGCACGGTTTGCCGCCATCCACACCACATAGTGATGGGACAGGGAGAAAAGGGCCCAAGAAGCAGAATATCCTAATGGTTGCCCAACCACAAAACAAATGGGACGCGGAGGACCCCTAATTAAAGGAGGACCCAACGTCGCCACGTTCAGGGCCAAACAACCATTAACGATAGAAGATGCCAAGGTTGGTCCGAAGAGGCATGACATTAAGTCATGAATCACGGATACTGGCCACCGATCAGTGGCAGAACTTAAATCAAATGAATAAAAGCATTTGAGATGAGCAATGCGCATTAATCGATGGATAGGACCTGAATGATTAAAGGTCCCATCTATCTGCAGGTAGGTGGGATAACACCCGCATACCCCAATCATGCACCGGTCTGAGAAGACGCTCTTTGATTTTCCTATTACAAACAGTCTCCTCTTCCCTGCTCCTTCTACCACTTGAGCAATCCTTCCTTGATGAAGAACATACGATTCCAGAGCTGAACCGAGCTGGTCAAAGACCTGACCCGGATTCTTCTCATAAAAAGATAGATCTTCATTAGCGCATCTGGTATTCCACTCATTATCCAATGGGTACAAGACCCGCTTGGAGAATAGAATACCAGGAGAGCAAAGTGAGTCTCGACTGAAAGGAGAGGGAAGGTGAAATTGACCTTTATAATAAGATCGGGAAACTCTTTGGATCTAGGTTTCCGGGGGACGCTTTGACCATTTGACTTTATGATTTATGTATTTGGCCATCGGGAAAGGTGTACGCTTGAGCCTCATTTGCGTTAAGGCCCTATTAGAAGTCCAAAGCGCTCTGGTCGAGGTACCATCCCACTTGCACCTTAACTCTCTTGAGTTGGGGTTTCCGTTGGTTCTCTCTTTTAAGTTAACGAGTAACGTGCAAGCACTAGTGAGTGGAATGCTTTGTCGAAATACGGTCGTTCTTACGCTTCTTCTTTTAGTCGAGCCAAGCTTCACGCTTTACTGCAAAAAACTTCCGCTGGGTTGAGGACCAATACAAGGGTATATCCTAACTAGTTCCTTTCTTTTTTTATGACTTCACTTCGCTTCGCTTCTAAAGTTGGGTTCGACTCCTACCGAGTGGATTGGTCCCTGCAACGCTATCTGTCTACTTGACTCTAGTTGTAGGCCTTTCGCTTTGGGCTATCTTCTTTCTCCTCCTTCTTGGGACTTGTTTTAGGAATGTGTTTGTAATGTAATCCTTTATTCCCTTTGTTTGGATCCCACCTTGTTCGAATCCTCATCTCCTGCCGATAGCAGCCTTGTGTTGAGGCTCGATGTAATTGACCTAAAAAAAGACGCTTCTGTAATCTTTTCCTACTCCTGCTGAGCTAGCATTCGTTTAGAATCTTCATTGAGCTTTAATAAGGTCTTTCTAGTCTTTTCTCAATAGCCTTACCGGCAATTATTATTCTTAAATCCGGAGGGCTTTAGGCGATGTGTCGATCCGGCTGAGCTTACTCTACTCGCTCGGTTGAATTAGATCTCGCCTGTACCTGCATACAGCTAGGGACTCGTCCACCGCCAAGGAAGGATCCGTAGATAGAGGGTGACATTGTAGAAAATGTTTCTGCTTCCATTGACGTAATAAAGTAAGCGAAGAGCCATAGATTGCAAATACAATATACAAGGTGCACCTATCAGAATCCCATTGAGTGCTTTACCTCGGGCTGATCCGCGATTACTAGCCAGTTACAACATCCAATGCATTCCTCTCCTTTTATTTTAGTCGAGCCTCATTCAACTCTTCTTATAATTCTTCTAATTGAACTGAATTGCCATACCTTGTTGACTGCTGTATCTTTTCGAATTTGTTCATCAAGCGAGAAAACCCCTGAAGATTGACTCCACTACTGGAATTGGGTAAACATTCATTCCTATTTGGGTGCTTTTTGATTCACTCGCCCCCTTGGAAATCGGGCATTTTTTCTCCCGATCCTTAATGGCAGAGCAACAAAGAGTGACTCTACGCCTTTTAGGTCAAGCGGCTTAATAATTAGGTGTAGAGGGCGCTTGGTCGCTACCAGCTTTACCGATTTCGAAGAAATTCTTAAGAACTGCACGAGGGTCGATGTAATTGAGATACAGAGGGGGCTGCCAAGAGAAGGCGAACAAGCGGAATAGACTGTCGATAGATCGAGACATTGATTCTAATTCTATGAATGTCATATAGAAGTATTGATTCTATGTTGAGAAATGCATCAATATTGACTTATATAAGTAAGATTGAATGTGCATAGGGATCTCTTAAGAGTTGATTATTCGTCTAGATTCGTAGGTTGACCACCGGTACATATGGAGCACTAGAGGCGCCCAAGCAAGCAAGGGTGGAGCTCCGAAAGACCTAGCTAGACGGATCTAACGATATGAGTTGCGAAGAGTCTTTAGCTGAGCACAACAGAATGAAAAGGAATTTTTATCATTTCAAATCCCTATTCTTATCGAAGAGAGAGAACGAGAAAAACCGAAATCTTCCTACTCAAACAAGAAGTCCTATAGTAACCAACTCTTCTTTATATAGAAATTCGACCTCAATTACATCGACCCTTCGCATGTTTTCTTCGCTGTTGACGGTTTGGGCAAAGGAGTTTCCTTTTCGGCCTTTCGGATCCTCCTCCTTCTCCTTTTTTTTCAGCGTCATTGGTCACATTCTTAGCCGCTCAAGAGTCAAGAGACTGACTATCTCTCTTTTTACGCAATTTCAAAAATGAAGTAGGAGAGTGACTACTTCTTTCTGCTCGTAGTTCCTCTCTTCTTAGTGTACTCGTGATACAGTACTCGTGCAATAGCGCTTACGGCAGCTCGTAGCTATAGTATGCATGGGGGGTAACGAGATATTGATTACACAGTAGTTAGGAGCTCATAGTTTCTCTCGCGGTAGTGCGCTTACGGCGTGCTCTTTCTTTTCTTTTTATGACAAGTGGCCGCCAGTAGACGACAATAGGTGTTCGGTACGTGCTTCTAATTCTTATTCCAGGCTCCAGTTCGGTCATTGGCCAGGTTAGTGATGAAAGGACTTCCTGCGCCTGACGGTGGGAATAGGGGAAGTGATTCCGCTACGTCTGCAAATGATAGGGTGATGGCTCCGGAGCCTATAGGTTCACATCCAATTCACGTTCCCGTTGGAGTCTCAGACCTCCAGTTCCTGCCAGACCACTAGAAGCCTTATCTTATAGTATAGGCCCCATCACAATTAGCTTTGACCCATCCCTCAGGCTCATCTAACATTGCATTCAAACTTTCTGCTACGCTCATCTTTCCGCTAAAATCTTTTGCAAGACAGAGTGAGCCGTGAAAGAAGAATTGCTCCAACACCCTTTCTCAATTAGGCTAGCTAGAGTCAGGATGGGGTGGCTAAAGGAAAGATTATAAGACCAATCTCTATCCTATCAAACCGTAAACAGAGAAGAGCAGAAATAAAGCAAATCAGCAGTCTTATAGGCCCAGGAACGACATTCTTTTGATCTTGTTTGGTGTGTGTGTGGGTAAGAAAAGGAAATGCATATGATCAGCATTCTTCTAGGCGCTGTGTTGTAAAGACATGCTTTGAGAACTCTAGTAGCTCATCATCCGGTCTCAGTAGGTTCCGGGCAAACCGTAGTCATGGGGTCCTTCCAGTTATGTCTTTCAGTGGTCGCATCCGCGGTGAAGAAAGAAGGTAATCTTTCCACGGTGGCGCTTTCCACTAGGATAGGTTAAACTACCAGCTTCCACCTATAGTCCCGTCCGTGCTTTTACTCGGGTAGGGACTATTTGAAACCATTTCTTTCTTCTTCTGGGGTTAACTTCTTCCATCGCCCGATTCAAGGAAAGGTTCTGCTCTATCTATTGAAATGGGAGGAAGTTGGGAATCCCAGGTGTAAGGCAGAGTGCCAGGTCGAACTAGAATGAATGTAATTCTTTACTTCGGGTGTACACTCATTTTTTTCCAATAATTATCTTCTATTGACTTCTTATATTTGAATTGGAACGGAAACTCTTCTCTTTCAAACCCAACAAACTTTTCGAAGCGAAGTTCAGTCATAAAAGCTCAACTTCAACTGAAATTACAGGATTTCCTGAAAGAGCTCCCGCCTCTCCTCCTCCGTATGCTACTTCTTAATTTAATTGTCAAAAATCAGTCATTTGTGCGCCTCCCCTCAAGGGGCTCCTCTCTTGTGTACTCCCTCTCTTTCTCCGTGTGAAAGTTTTTTTTCTTGGCTAGTAAGAAAAGTTTTAGAGAAGAAGTGAGCTGTGATAATGAAAGGGAAATATATCTCTATCTTGGAGCTGTTTTTGCCCATTACCGAGAGGTTGTTGCTCTCTTACTAACTTATTACCTATTCTATTCCCCACGAACTTCTCATGATTGATTAGGGTGGTGGATCATCTTCGCCTACGCAACGAAGAGAAGTAGTTTACTTGCTTGCTTCAAAAGCCCGGAGACTTGAAGTCCTGAGGTTCTGGCAGCTCAATCGGGCTTGGACTAAGTCGTTCATTCTACGAAGAATGCTGGCAGAGGAAAGAAATAGGAGGGCTTCGGCGGCTTGCGTGCGAAGTGAAGCCATGAAAGCCTAAACCTAATGAGTTCTCCGACGGGTAGTTCGAGCAGACCAAGGGATCAAGGCAATAGCGCCGGCAGAACTGACCATAGGATGGTTTGCTGATGTGATGATTTTGAGTCAATCCGAGCTTCTCTACTTCAGAGAGATCCTCCACCTTCTTTTGAAACCATTGTTTCTAGAAAGAATTAGGGAGAGTGCTGAACCGCGTAATGCAAAAAAAGAAAGATGAGAAGACTCTTAAGCACTAGGATATGATCTAAGTCAAGCATTCGTGCAAATCCAAACCTTGCCTTTCCTCGTCTTCCTTGGTCGCGGATATGCTTCTTTCAAAAGAGACAAGCGGGGGATTCGACAATGCCACAAAGAATTGCATATGTAACGCTTTCATCCGCGACGACTGATCTAAGAGTATAGAATATTGGGTGGAAAAAAGAAGCTCGACGCGTAAATCCGAGGATAAGACCAAGGGTGCCGTCAGGTAGCTCGACTTCAAGGAGTAGGCAGATTAGACATCCACACAGGACAAGGTGACGAAGAGCCAAGTGATTGGTAAGATGCAAGCGGGCAAAGGGCAAAAAGAAAAATCAAGCTTTTTTAGCGTCACCGGGCTACGCTCGCCTTTATTGAAGACTTGTCTTGGATTGGCTTGTCGCACAAGGGAGTCAATCAATGCCAATTTTGAAATGCATTCCCAGGCCCAGGGTATGTGGCTAGATTATTTGGTTCACTCTTTCTATAGCAGAAGGCCAATCTGCGCTCCGCTAAAAGTGTGGCCGAATCTAAAAAAGAGACTTTATGCGGCAAATCTTCTTGGACTGGCGATTGAATGAGTTGAGGCGTTCTGGTTTTGCTTCGAATTAAGAAGCACACCGGGCTTTAGTCGGCATAGCCAAGCCTTTCTAACCAGAAGCTGGAATTTACCAATGACAGCTGCCTACGGTCTCTCGTCTGTCTCCTTTGGCGTGAAGGAAAAGAGTTCTGACAACAAGAAAAAACGGCGGAAGAGCGAGCTGAAGTCAGGCTGTCTTGTCTATCTTTCCTCGCAAAAGAAAGTTCGTACAAGGATCCATGACGAAACCGATAGTGAGTAGTGTGGAAAGGAAGAACCCCTTCAGTGCAGGATTTCTTTCAAACTGACTCAATTGGCGTATACGTGCCCCGCTGGCTTTTCGAGAGCAGTTTTGTTCCAGCTACCCTTATTCGGGCCGCTGGTGGGACAATGAATTCTCTTCTGGCCAACATAGTCCATTCCATCCTCATAGTCAAGGAAATGCAGCCTTCTTGATAGCTTCCGCACTGGAAATGAGCTTCTTAAAAGTCTGACCCTGCCACCTATATTTATTAGATTTTTTAGCCCCATTTAACCTATGGATTTCTTTCTCCCTTCCGCTAATTGCTTCGACGAGAGGTTGGAAAGTCTAAGTCCGATCACGGATCACAATTACAGGTACCTGGGAGCATACCGACGCACCTTGTTTACTTCAGCAAGCAAAAATAGTAATGATTTACGATTCGAGCGGAAGAGAAGAGATATTCTCAGACAGAAAAGAAAGGACTTACCACTTGGCCACACTCAGAAGCCGAAGTCTGAGGAGATAGAATAGAAGTCCGCCCCAGTCCAATTTGACATTAGAAGCAATATTCTAGGCAGGCTTAAGCTCGCTTCGCTTCGTTTTTAGAGACTCACTTTGCTCTCCTCGCCGAACTCAAGAGGAAGGTTTCTGGTTTTGCATCAACCTCTGAGCTAACTCAATATGCATCGACTGGGTCAAAGGCGGGGATTGGGAATGAGAACCTTTTTAGAAGGTCTTTCCTTTTGTCACAAATCAGGTAATGTAGTCTATGTTATTTTTTTTATTAGAAAATCAATCTGCTTACGAAATCTTAATCGTAGACTGGTGACCGGGAGATGGAAGGTCTTCCGTAGCTTGGTTGCTTAGCCGTCAATCGTCGTTCGAGAGGTCAGTAAGGTGGAGTCTAGTGCTTAGAATGGAACGAAGTGGCTGAGACGTAAGCCGGCACAAACGCCACTGGAATCTCCGAAAGGGGGTTCTTCATTCATTATCTTTTCTTCAATAACTGGTTGAGCTAACAGGTTCAGAGCCCCTGCTTCCGTCCACGAAGGCTTTTTGACTCATACTAGGGGGACAGGGTAGATGCCGACATGAAGATCATGTCAAATCGGGTCTTTCCTTACTTGGTGGGGGGGTCTTTGCTTTGACTTCACTTCGCTTCGTTTTTAGAGTCTCACTTCTTCTCCTCTCCTGGCAACGTCAAGTCTCCCTTCACTCCTCTCCAGGACTTAACTTCGCTTCGAAAAGTTTGTTGGGTCGAGTATCTTCAAACCTGATTTCCTTCCTTCTTCAATGAGGGTTCTCCTTACTTCTATTAATTGTCATTACGACCGGCTATTTCCATTTCCTTTATTGAATTGAATTGAATTGAACCAGAAGAACTATTCGAGTGACGGGATGTCCCACCCCTATCTTTCCTAGTGAAGGGTTGTCCATAGTCAGAGGGATATTCGTATCCAGATTCCAATCCGAACCCTTGTTTGGCTATATCTGCTATACTTGACTTTTACCTATCTCGCTTGCCTTGTTTTCCTATGTGAGAAAGAAACCATTCATATTTGGATGTAAGGAACTTGAAGATTAAGATATTTTACCCACACCTCGCAGCGCGCCTTTCTTTTAAAAAAAGAAAACTAGAATGCCTTCTTTTCTTTCAAGACCGAAGTGCTTTCACTTTCTTGCCTTTCCGAAAAGGGCTGAGCTTCCTTATCCTTTTCTAGGCTCAGGCTAGGCAGAGGGTGAATTGAAAGCCAAAAGAAAGAAATCGGCACAGTTGCGATGCGCTCACTCAAGCTTAGGCACCGAAGATGCATTCCATTTCCTTTCAAGTAACGAGAGGGCTATCAGTTATAAATTCAAAAGAGAGGGAACGAACGAAGCGAAGCGCAGTAAAGTCAAAAATAGTAAGGCGTACGAGACCAAATCTTGTTTTGCTTACGGGCTGTAGCTACCGGGTCCGAAGGAGGCTGATCGTGAATCAATTCCATCTGTTAGGGCGGGCAAGTTGCGGTGAAAGAGAGTCCATCTTTCTCATAAAGTTTTGTGAAGAAAGTATGGCTGCCGAAAGCTCTGGGGGAGGCTCGCTCCTCCTACATCGAACTCTTCTTTTCTTTATTCAACAAATATGCAAGTTTGTCTTCGTCTGATAGATTTTTCAATGGGAAAACTTGTTATTCCACGAAAGAATGGGTGGAGTGAAATCATCCTGTCTCGTTCAAACTAGATCAATCGAACTTTCTGGCGTGGAAATCAAAGATTGTGCCGATTGTACGAGGTCGTGGCTTGATGCATTTCCTTGATCGCTCTACTCCTCCACCATCTCCAACAGTAACCTCTTCTGATAACCTCGGTGTCGCCACCACTGAGATAAATCCAGCGTATACCACTTGGATGCACCAGGATCAATGTAATTGACCTCGGCTGGATTCTCTCGACTCTTGAGCCTGCCATTATTGCTCAAGTTGTCGACTGTACCACCACTGCAGATCTATGGAATGATTTTCGATCCACCTACTCGCAGCGCGCCTCTGCATCTCGTGTTCTTGATCTTCGCCTTCAACTCCAGACTCTCAAGAAAGGCTCCTCTTCGTGTCAGGAGTTTATGAAGAAAATGAAGAGTATCGCAGATCAACTTCCCTCGATCGGTGTGCCCGTCTCTGAACAGGATCTTGTCCTTCACGTGTTGACCGGGCTTGGAGCTGAGTACGAATCTTTTGTCACCGCTATTACTACACGATCTGATCTAGTGACCTGGCCTGACCTCCAAGGCCTTCTTCTGACACAAGAGCGGCGCCTCCAGGGGCCTTCAGGCACTCAAACAGATAGTGAGACAGACACCATCTATAGAACTTGAATGACAATACACCTTTATATTCTAGCTAACAATCTTAAACTGTATCCAAATGGAGGGTCGATGTAATTGAGTCAGAAAGATGCCTTCTCAATGTAATCGACCCTCAACGACACAGCACATTTTATCAAATGTTCCACGTTTCTAACCATATCCTCATAGGGCTGAAGCACAAGAAAGAGGTCAATTACATCTCAATGTAAGCGACCCTCGCCTAGGACAGTAGAAGGATCTGTGGCCGAAGGCGCCACAAACGAAGCGGGTCGCCTGTCTCCTTGTTCGGCCGCAGCCATAACTGATGATTTTTGATTCCTGCCAATCACTCAATGTAATCGCCCCAACGAACGAAGCGAAGTGAAGTCATAGACAAAAGAGGTAATTGACAATGAGCGGAAAAAAAAACAGCACATTATGTTATGGCCATGACCAGCTAAAGATCACTGGCCATCTCACGAATTGGATTTGAACCAATATCAAGCGACTTTCCTTTTCTTTAGTCGATCGTGAGTGGGTCTGTCGTTCTCCTCATTATAGTCCTCCTAGAATCAATAGCATTTCGTCGGAATACATCCTGTCTTTTCACCTTTGTAGTCCTATGCATAGTTAGTACTATAGCCCCAATCATGGCAACTAATAAAATCAGACTAGGAACCAAAAACCAGACGAAATAGTAGGTATAAAGTAAATTGCCCAATGTTTCCAAATTAGTCCAACTTCGTACCTTTTCGGCATAAACCGTATATCTCAGAGAGGTCGTATTTCTTTGGGTTGGTAGTAATGGAATGCTTTCATTATCTAAAATGAAGAACATTTCCCACCAAAAGATCAGTCCAATAATACCACTCACTGGTAAATAGCGCAATACTTCTTCGTGAATCTCCGCTATTTGAATATTGAACATCATAACAACGAATAGGAATGAAACGGCTATAGCTCCTATATGAACTACTGGGAAGATCATAGCGAAAAAGTCGAGACCTAAGAAAAGAAGTAAACCGGAAGTATTGCGAAAGACTGGGATGGGAAACAAAACGGAATGTACCGGATTTTTAGCACGTACAACCATCAAACCAGAGACCAAAGCAGGACTCGACAAAACAGAAAGTATCATAGTACGTCGTCCTTCCCCGAAATGGAACTTGAATGCTAGTTCATGCTCCAGCATTCAAGTCGATCTATTACGACCAGCGCGGTTGTTCGTATTTCATTTTCTTCTTCCAAGACAAACTCTTGTTAGGCACTGAGTTACTTACGGAATCTCAAATCTGCATCCGTCCAATGCATTTTTTTTCGATCTTCTATGTTGGTACACTGAACACCAACCAAATCTCGATGTTTGAAAGATGTTCTGTTCACATACTCGTTTTCACACATAGGCACAGATAGTCAGGAAAAATCAAACTTTGACGAAGGAAGTGGCCTTGCCAATTGTGTATAGTGGACACGAGCAAAGTTGTGAGCAGCATTTTCCTAGCGGCCGCAATAAAAGGAAGGTTGATCGAAGGATCTACATGAAGCTTAAAATACAGCTAGCTTAGGCTCCCACCTTCCTCTCAATTACATCGACCCAACGAACGAAGCGAAGCGCAGTGAAGTCATAAAAAAGGAGAGAGGCAATTGATGACCACCTGTTAACCGGTCTAACCGCTAACTTAACACGGGAAAAGAAGGATAGGAAACGGGGGGAGCTACACGGCATTTAATAAAGTAAGATATTCCCTTCAAGCGAAGCCGCGTGACAAAGCTCTGTCGCTAACTTCTTTCGTGTTATAGTCTTGAGCGGAACTCCTTCTTTTTGTCCTACTGTTGGTAAGGAAGGTGTTAACCTGGCTTTGAGCTCAACCAAAGCAGTGTAGCTAGTCGACCTCAGCTAGGTCTTAATAGAAACTACCTGTATGACTCGTTAGCGCCTTATCTTTCCGAAGTCTAAGGAAGGCATGCCCAGCTCTAGGCTTAGGGCTTTTGGGGAACTTTAGAGAGAAATTGTTAAAAGGCCCCTGACAGAAAGGGAAAGGAGTCCCACAGTAGATTGAGAGTATCGAGAATCTTCGATAGCATTTCCCCCGGCATTTTGACACTTCACTAGCAGGGTGAAAGAAAGTCGGATGAAAGTTCTCCCAGGCTAAAGTCAATAGCCCTTCTGCAATCAATATTGAAGAAAGCTTACTCCCCACGGAGCGGTGCTGGGTCAGGCCAGTTCAGCTCTAGATAAGAAAGCGAGCCAAAGCATCGCAATAGACGCAACCTGCACCCACGCTTTTAAGATAGAAGATCTAAAATCCTTCGGTAAACAAGATAAAATAAAATTGCTCCTCTTTCAGGATTCCGTGACAGATGGGATTCTTTGGGCTAGGATCTAAAGAGATAGCTATGAGAGGGTCTTAGCCTGTAGTAGCTTACCGAAAGGAAGGAAGAGTCTAAAGGCCTAACCGCTGCTATTAAGTCAACTATTCTTGTTCAAGTTGTTTTTTTTTTTTTTTTATAT